TATATATATATATATATATAAGTAATAATATGAGAATATGGTAAAAGTGAGTTTATGAGAAATGATATGAACTAAATAAGCAAAGGAAAAAGGTTACATAAATAATAAGAAGGTGAGTTGGGCAAGTACATAGTAGTATGATCAATTAAGTAATAATATGAACATATAGGATAAGATAGATGGGAAAGATTCATATGCTTAAATAAAATTATGATACATTAGTTGTATGATAAAAGCTATGGAGTGGTATAAGAAGATTATATGAGTTATATGGAATTGAATTAAGTAAATAGATTAATTTGTATATAAAATAAATAATAGAAGTATATATATATATATATATATATATATTTATTTATTTATAAGTATAATATGGGTTATGTAATGTAAGTGCATACTAAGAAATAAAGAATAAGATAGATGATACGATATAAATTATATTATGAATTAGTGATGTAGGAATGCGATATAAACATGCAATAAATCTTATGTGTTGTATGATAAATATGAACATATGAGAATAAGAGATAAGATAAGTGACTTGGTGATAGAAGTTATATGACCATGAATTATGTAAATCTGAATAATTTAAGTGATATGTAACTATGAGTATTGGAGTATGTATCTATGTGATGTGATACATGAGGTTATATGAAATATTATATTATATGATTATATGAGTATATGAAAAAGAATATAGATTCATGTAAGTTATATAAAAATGAGTTGTGTAAACATGTCTGATATGTATGACATTTTTATAGAAACACATGAGAAATGTTATATGCTATGAGATATATGAATACGAAATGATATAAGAATTTACATGTATATGTAAATGAAGCTACGAGTTTATATGAATATGTGATCTGTTTACATGAATATGGAAAAAAATATAATGCCCATGATATGTGTCATGAGAGCTAGGGGTATAGTTGGCATGCCAAGAGTCGAGGGTCTACGCGGGCCTTCAGGACATATATGTATTCTTTGGAACATGTATGAGGTCTTTTGGGACACATACTTGATCCTTGGCATATGTATATGATTCTTAAGGAATTTTCTACGTGGTCCTTAGGGACAATCGTATATGACACTACGGTGCATTTCTACGTGGCACTTCGGTGCATTTATACGAGCTGTGGTGACATCATTAGTGCACAACCTCTATAGACTTACATATCTATAGTTCTCACATATGTACATGGGCTAATAAAGAAATAACAACAAACATATTACATGTGACTTGTATGATTTTGTGTTATGAATGGTATTATATGATTTATATGATGATATATGGATTGTATGATTAAATGAGTCAAATGTTGGTTAAAATACTAGGTATAAGAAGATATTTATTAAGTGATATAAACGATAATAATATTGATAATGTAATAAGGCTAAAGATGGAAATGATAAATGATGAATATATGTGTGTGTATATGTTCTTACATGTAATGATATATTGCATATGTGTTATAGGGATTTGTTACATGAATAAGGGTATGAGTGATAGCAGTAATTGTTCATGCATGATTACAAGCTATAGTTTATAATATATGTTTATTTGCCTCACTAAGTCATAGACTTAGCGTGTGATTATTCCACACGTAGGTTACAGAAGTGGGAAGAGTAAAGAGCAAAGTGGAGCAAGACAGGTCAGTTACTTCTTACCGAAGATCAGATCAGAAAAGATCTCTTGAATTAGATGTATTATGTACATTGAAAATAGTTGGCATGTAATTAATGTTTTGAATTGTATATGCTCTGATCGGTTTTGTCAAAAACATTTAAGCTCTGAATAGTTCTGGAAATATTTTGAATAAGTTACATGTACAAAAGTTTTAAATTACTCGTTATTTTATACAAGTAAATGTTTTGAAAAATTAATATGACACCTCGGACGCAGATCCTGGTCGGGTACGGGTTGGAGTGTTACATATAGAATTAATGAGATAAGTTATATAGCATTGATATAAGGGCTATATAAAAGTATGTACATGAATACATGTATAAGTTTATATGTTATTCTATGTGCTATGTGATGTATATATGAACACATATAAGCTATATGATAAATGGTATGTGAACGTATTTAAATGACATATGTTATATGATATGAAAATGATGATTATATGCACATGTGATATGAGATAGATGTTTACACATACATGTGGTATGTAACAGAAGAAAAGAAATATGTGATCATAAGAAATGATATGAGTACATGAATATATGAAGCATAAGAAAAATGCCCATGTTATATGATACGAGAGCTATAGGTATAGTTGGCATGCCAAGAGTCGAGGGTTACCTATGTTCTTCAGAACATATAGACAATTACAGATTACCTATGTTCTTTGGGACATATGGACAGTTATAGATTACCTATGTTCTTCGGGACATATGGACAGTTATAGATTACCTATGTTCTTCGGGACATATGGACTGATTACCTAGATTCTTCGGGATCTATGGACTGGTCCTTCGGGACAAATTTCGCATGCCCCTAGTGGGACCCCATACGAGTTATGGTGATAGGAATAGTGCACAACCTCAATGTACTCGAATACCTTGAGTTCTCAGTAATGTACATGGGCTAATAATGAGAATAATAAATATAATATATGTGATGTATATGCTTTCGAGGATATGAAACGTTACAGAAATTATATGATGATGTGTGTATTGTTTGGTTAAGAATGTTAGATATAAGAGCATATGACTAAGGGATTAAGGATAATGCTAAGAAGGTAAATGATGATATATGTGTAGGTATGCAGTGGTTCTATGATAGGATATATGTTTTTATATGATATGATAATATCAATTATTTATGCATTGATATGAGTAGAGTAATGTTACATGTTTTCACGCCTCACTAAGTTATCGACTTAGCATGTGATTGTTTCACACATAGGTTTGGAAAGCGAAAAAGAGAAGTAAAGAGGAACAAGACAAGTCAGTTCTCCTTACCGAAGATCAGATCAGAAATGTAGTTGAATTACATGTATTTTGTTACATAGAATTTAGTTGGCATGTAATATAAAATATTTGAATCTGATATGCTCTGATCGAGTTTTGTAATGTTTTAAACGTATTATGTAAATGGTAAATGTATAGTTATGGAAGTTTAAGTATTTTGTGAGTTTTATATGTTTTGCAGAAGTTACTGTAGCAAGGGTATCGGTACACTGTATCAGGGTATCGATACCATTGTTTAGTTCTGGAAAATTTTAATATTCGGTACTGTTTATAGTACTATTTATGGTACTATTCATGATATTGTTCATTTCTGTTCACAGTATTGTTCATACAGTATAATATTGTTCATATCGTATATTATTGTTTATAAAAAAACATTTTTGACTTAAATTTTTATAGTGAAGCATAATTTAATCATATATTACTATATTTTCTTAATATAAGTCCAAATGATATGCTATTTTGTAAAAGTAAATGTTTTGAAATGTCAATGTGACATCTCAGACTCGTATCCGGGTCGGATACGGGTTGGGGTGTTACAACCAACCTATCACAACATAATATATATAGTTAATAGCAATAAAAAAAGAGAAATGACCTAATAAGAAATCCAACATGGAATAATTGAATAATACGATGATATGATATATATACACACATATTATAATTGATTAATATGTGAATGTATTTTATTTATATTTTAAATCATTTTAATGAAAAAAATAAAATTAATTTTAATATATTATAATTGAAATATAGCGAAGAGCTTCGTTGACTTAGAATTTTCCTGATAGTTGAGGGCATACCGTAGTAAACATTTTAACTTATGCATTGACTCGTTTATATCCCAATTAGTGTAAGAATTTTATATTTTATTATTTATTCATTATATATTTGAAGAAAAATTTAGGGGAAACTTGATTTTATTGAATTAGTCTATTTTAATATAGAGTTGTTAAAAATATTAGAATCTGATCGATGTTATAATGTTTTAAAATTTAAGTTATGATACATTTCAGTTCAATAAAATATGTAATGAAGATAATTGATTAATTTAAAATATGAAAAATGATACATTTCAATTATAACATATTAAATTCACTTTTATTTTAATTTTTGCATTAAATGTGATTTAAAATATAAATAAAACATATTCATTTATTAATCAATTATAATATTTGTTTACATATATTTTATATTTTCATACTATTCAATTATTTCATGTTTGAGTACTTATAAGGTCATTTATTACCATTAACTATATTATAAATTATGTTATGTATACTAGACATATTTAGTGGTCTAATTTAGTGGTTAGGGCATTTGGTTTTTTTGCTTACGTCCCAGGTTCAAACTCCACCAACAACAGTTATTGATTTAATTTATTTTACATTCAGTTAATTGGTGACACATGACACCATTTGATTGGATGGAAAATTTATGAAATAAAAAAATTAAAAAATCCAATCATACTGTGACACATGTTATCATCGGATTGAGGGTTATTAAATCAAATAAAAGTTAAAACTAAATTAATAGAATGTGTAAGTAATGAGGATTAAATGTATAATTATAAATTTTTTATTAACTGCCACATCATGTCCTCTGTTAATATTTAACGACATGTGACTTGATTGACAATATTTAAATAGTTAGGTGATCCGATTAATAAAATTAAAAAATTTGATGATTAAAATATAAGGGGTAAATAGTTAGGTGGATAATGATATTGTCTACCCTAAAAACTAATATTTTATAAATATTATATTTTAATTAAATTAAATTTAGATTTTAACTAATTTATAATTAGACTTTTAGTACTTTATAATTTAATATTTTATAAATTTATTTAACGATACTTATCATTAACGATTTCCATCCATACTTGTTGAACGTGATAGCATAACCCAAATAAAATTAAATGGTATTTAGTATTACTTGTATCTTTTGGGTAAAAAAATGTACATTATAATTTGTGTATAAACAAGGATGTCTAAATTTTGGAAACTAATGTAAAACCCCAAAATACCCTTCGTTTGCACTAAACCCTTCTCCTTTCCCTTCCATATTTATATCTCCAAACAAACATTCCAAGAAATCCGTAATCAAGTCAAAGCTAACTCAACTGTTCACTATGCAAAAGAGTCCTTCTGCTTCTTCCTTGGGTCCAGGTGGTCTAGACCTGGCTCAAGCCTTCTTCAAGCCCATCCAAAACTCCGATCCACATTCCACCACCAACCGCCATACCAAGATCTCCGTCATCGGAGTCGGAAACGTCGGTATGGCAATCGCGCAAACTATTCTCACTCAGGACTTAGCCGATGAACTTGCTCTTGTCGACGCCAAGGCTGACAAGCTCCGCGGCGAAATGCTCGATCTCCAACACGCCGCGGCGTTTCTCCCACGCACCAAAATCAACGCGTCCGTTGATTACTCCGTGACCGCTGGATCTGATCTGTGTATTGTCACCGCTGGCGCCCGACAGAACCCTGGCGAATCTAGGCTGAACCTGCTGCAGAGGAACGTTGCCTTGTTTTCGAACATCATACCTCCACTGGCAAAGTATTCGCCGGATTCGATTCTATTGATTGTTTCGAATCCGGTTGATGTGCTAACTTACGTGTCTTGGAAACTGTCCGGATTTCCGTCGAATCGGGTCATCGGTTCGGGTACCAACTTGGATTCGTCGAGGTTTCGGTTCCTGATCGCTGATCATTTGGACGTCAACGCTCAGGATGTGCAGGTCAGCTTTACTTTATCATATAAGATATTGCAAGTGGAAGAATTATGTGGGCGCTTTCAGTTTTATTCGTAGTACATAATATTTATGCAAATTTATAATATTCTTATAGTGTACAAGTTTACGATATATCATTTATAAATCTATATAATCTTAAATATGTTAGTATACAAATGGTCCATCAATTATATATCATTGTTTTGTTGAGAACTTAAATTATTAAAAGTTTTCAAATGATCATTTAATTATAGGACGTTGATTTGTTGAGTATCTCGACTATTAAAAGATATAAAATGGTCGTTTGACTATTTATATGTCTTAAACTTGTCATTTTTTGTTAAAAAATTGATGATCGTTTGAACTGAATGTTAATTTGTTAATCGATGTATGATAACATCTAATCCCATAATCTCAAATGTTTATACAATTTAAGCAATCTTGGGATCATATTTTATCATATCTTAGTCAGTAGATTAACGTAAAGAATATTTTAACAGAAAATGACAAGTTTGAAATTATAAATAATTGAGTGACCATTTTGTAATTTTTAATAATAGAGAGATTCAACAAAGTAGTGACATATAGTCGAGGGACCATTTGCATACTTTACACTTTTAAATAGCACTTTAAACTGCACCCAACAAGTGGTATCAGGTATAAAACAAAATTTTGTTCTCCTTAGTGGTTTCAGATTCGAAAAGTTGCATCTGCAAGGTATTTATATTGTCAATTAGTAAAACAATTCTGAACAGATAATATATCGTAATTATTCAAACTATTAAAAGAATATCATTTTAAACTAAATATAAGCATTGTACTTTCAATACCATTGGTATGTTGTCATTTATTGAAAGACATAAAATATAAATTAATAACATTAAATAAATTTTATTTTACTGAAACTATAGTCGCTCCCTTAAAAGATGTTGCTAAATAATGTCAAAGTCGGTATTTGTTGCTAAACTATCGGTATTCCGTGGGTTGCATCCTAGGATTCAAAACTTTGTTTATTTTAGGAATTTTTTAAATAATCCATTTTCTCAATTCTTTAATATCATAAAAGGTCCAGAGCTAAAATTAATTTGGAAATTAATGTGAAGAAGAGACTTTCATACAAGGATTTTTTTGGAGTTCAAATATTATTCATACAGGATTGCTATATTATTTATCGTTTGATCTAATTTACAGTTCAGAAAGAGATAGTAAAGTAGCAAATTTAGAAGTTTTAGGAGCACAAATCATTGTCATGCTCCTGCATTACCAAATGCATGTAAAATATTTGCAGGCCTTCATAGTTGGTGAGCACGGAGACAGCTCGGTAGCACTCTGGTCCAGCATTAGCGTCGGCGGAGTGCCGGTGTTAAGCTTCCTGCAGAATCAGCAAATTGCCTACGAAAAGCAGACCCTTGAGAACATTCACAAAGCTGTTGTGGACGGTGCATATGAGGTGATTAATCTGAAAGGGTACACTTCTTGGGCAATAGGCTACTCGGTGGCTAACTTGGCTAGAAGTCTGCTCAGAGACCAGCGGAAAATCCACCCAGTTTCAGTCCTTGCAAAGGGGTTTTACGGTATCGACGGTGGTGATGTTTTCTTGAGCTTGCCGGCACTGCTCGGTAGAGCTGGAGTCTTGGGCGTCACCAATATCCATTTGACTGATGAGGAGATGCACAGGCTTAGGAAATCGGCTGAGACCATTCTTGAAGTTCAAAGTCAGTTGGGACTGTAAGAAACAAGTATTTGTTCACTAGACTGTAGACATTACGGTTGCTTTTGCATCTTTTTCTTCTTTGGTAGACATTACGTTTGCTGTTGCATCTTTAAAAGGCCTTTTGTTGAACACTTCTGATGATCCGGTTTATTGTTATATGTATTTTCGATTTGGGTAAACTATACCTGTGATCCCTTTTATTTTCGGCCTTTCTTATTTTGGTCACCGATTTTGAAAAAGTTACATTTTGATCATTTACATTATCTGTTCATTCCATTTTGGTAATTAGACTCTTAATTAATAGTAGAGCCAGAAATTTAGAAACGATGATCCAAAATTTTAATACTATTTTTCCTTAAAATAATTGAGTATACAAATTTTCTTATTTTTTTTCTCTTTCCCTAACACACTAGACAAAATTTAACAATTTTTTCTCTCTAAATAATAAGTATGCACTTGCTCCTCTAAGGGGCTTGGTGCATTTGTCTCTGCCCTTGACACTTATTAGTTTACTAGCATGGCATGTGATATATGCATAACAAGACTCACATCAAAGGAAGATGGATAAAATCTTCCAATTGATCCACACCTCAAAGCCTTAGAAAAGAAACTCAAAACAACAACAGACTTGCAACGACTCTTTGAATAGAATTCAGGTGTTATTTGGTCAATAGATTTTCTCCACTTGCTCTCCTAAGGGGCTTAGTACATTTGTCTCTGCCCTTGACACTTATTAGTTTACTAGCTTGGCATGTGATATATGCATCACAAGACTCACATCAAAGGAAGATGGATAAAATCTTCCAATTGATCCATACCTCAAAGCCTTAGAAAAGAAGCTCAAAACAACAACAAACTTGCAACTACTTTTTGAATGGAATTCAGGTGTTATTTGGTCAATAGATTTTCTAGAGATACGACTGATTGTCTCTTAGTTTTCCAACGGCACGTGAATCGCATTAATTTGATGTCAGGAACTTAAGATATGCTCATTTTAGCAAAGACGGTGCATGTAGAAATTTCTATACGGGATTAATACGAGATTTTGTAAATGTTACAATATTTTAATATTTTATAGAATATTTGTAATATAATTTAATATAGGATGATGTATTATCTTTTATAATTAGATTTATTATTTTATTAAGAATTAAGATCGAGTTAAAATATTATTCTTAGTTTATTATTATTTTATTAGGAATTAGGATAGAATCGAAACATATCTTTATTCATTAGTCATGTTACAACAAGGACTTTTCATATTATATAAAGGAAGCTCCCCCACCATTTTAATTACATCTTTCTTAAATATAATACAACGAGAGTTCGTTTTTGCAAGTGATGATTGTCTGGTGCCTTCGAAGCATTATTCATCATTAAGTTCTTTCAAGTTCTTCGTGAGGGAGATCTTCACACTCCGGTTTGTCTATTCATTGGGATTATGAGTGTTGGTTAGATCCGATTATCGAGTTTGCCTAGTCAATTTCGATTAGGAGGGTTCGTAGGAAAACTATCCATCTATCTTCACCATTCCCATCATCATCAAATCGCCTACCATCATCATGGCCATCATTCATGCCAACGTCATACATACCAAGAGAATTTCAATAAGATTTTTTCAAATCTTTATCTATCTTTTATTATCTTTTATATATATTTGTTAACTATTATTCATCATTTTTCTAATATCCATCATCTTGTTTGATTTTCCAGCAATTGTATTCATAAACCCTAAATCAATGTCAAAACCTCTTCTCATGCCAATATCGTTCGTTGATTGAGTCTAGAACCCTAAGTTTGATTCCTTCAACTACGACCAATTGATAAGAGATGGCAGCAGAGTGATGAACGTTGCTAGTAATTGAAGGAATCAAGCCTAAGGTTTTAGACTCACTCAACGAAAGAGATTGACTTGAGAAGAGGTTTTAACGATAATTTAAGGTTCTTGAATGCAGTTGCTAGAAAATCAAACAAGATAATGAATGATAGTTAACAAATTATATAAAATAAGAATAAAAGATATATAAAGATATGAAGAAACTGTATTGAAATTCTCCTGGTATGTATGAAGTTGGCATGAATGATGACTATGGTGATGGTGGTTGATTTGATGATGATGGTGATGGTGGGGATGGTGAAGATAGATGAATATTTATCCTATGAACCCTTCAAATTGTAATTGACTAGGTAAACTCGATAATCAGTTCTAACCAACCCTCCTAATCACAATGAAAGTCAAATCGGATTGTGAAGATCTCCCTCACAAATAACTTGAAAGAACTTAATGATGAAGAATGTTTCGAAGGCACAAGAAAATCAACACTTGTAAAAACAAATTCTCATTGTATTATATTCAAGAAAAGATATAATTACAATGGTGGGAGGAGCCTCCTTTATATAGTGAGACAAGTCCTTGTTATAACATGACCAACGAATAAAGATAATGATTTGATTTAGTTCTAATTCCTAATAAAATAATAATAAATTAAAAAGAATGTTTTAATTCGATCTTAATTCATAATAAAATAATAAATCTAATTATAAAAGATAATGCATCATAAAAAATAAATTATATTACAAATAATCTATAAAAATATTGAAAATTTGTAATATTTTAAAAATATCGTATTAATCTCGTATAAAAATATATGCATGTGTTGTCTTCGCTAAAATGGACGTATCTTGAGTTCTCAACGTTGGATTGATGTGATTCTTATATCATTGGAAAACTATGAGACATACGGTTTTATCTCCAAAAGATATGTTGACCAAATAACACCTAGATCCCATTCAAAAAGTCGTCGCAAGTCTGTTGTTGTTTTGGGCTTCTTTTCCGAGGCTTGGACGTGTGGATCAATTAGAAGATTTAGTTCATCTTCCCTTGAAGTGAGCCTTGTGGTTCATGTATCATCCTCCCTCTCTTCAAAAAGATTCAACCCCAAATCTGGAACGTCAAAGAGAGAAAAGTCAAAACCTTGTAAGAATTCACTCACATTATATTTATTAAATATATATGCTTTGAATTTTCGAGATTTTATTTTTCTAATAGGTTCGAGTGAAAACATTAGTCCAAAGAAGCATGCACTATTGTAATCATAGATTCTGGTGCATGTATAGAAAGCATGTTAGTAAAAATAGTAATATTTTAACTTGACATTTGAATTTTACAAAATAATATTAATTTAATCCTAGACATGAGATAAAATACTAATTTAACTCTTGCACTTACGATAAAATATCAATTTGACCATTTAATTTAATTAAAACCCCACTATTGATCGCCACCTATCGCCATGGTCAGTAACCATCAATTTATATCATCGTTTTTTTTAATTGAATCAAATCAAATCGGATTTTACTTATCCCTATATCCTAGTATGGTATACAAATTTGAATGAAGTAGATTCTTACATAAATTTCTCAAATTTTAGAGTCAATCACCTTATGTCATTACAATTCTCATGCTACTTTTCAAACCATTGAACCCAAAACGTATTTCTTTTCTTCCTATCAACACATGAATTCCGCCGTGCCTATGAAATTTAATGTACAATTTGTATTCTAAATGCATGCATATATAGAAGAAACGTCTTATTAAAATCCAGATATTAAGAATCACGGGTTTCACATTTCTTTCACCATCAAAACTTTGATTGTTTTTTCCATACAGATACAAATTATCCGACTGCAATGTGTTCAACGTTCCATCGTTTGAATATTAATCTGGTATTTGCTTTTACAGTCACTAGTAATATTTTATTGATTAACCTTAAAAAAATGTGCTAAAAACGATACTAAACCCCATAAAAATAAAACATGGTTATGATTATCGGAACGACTGATTAACAATAAATGAATATGTTCGAACAAGAAAATAAAACATACCAAAATTATGTGAAAAATCAAAAGGAAAAAACCACAGGCAGAGCATCACAAAATCTTAATCCCTATTTTCTATTTATAAGGATCAAACGAATTATACTATGTCAAAAATTTTGCCCGTCCTGTTGGTCTCACACTTTTACCTTACCACTGTTTTTATTGTAACTTCATGAACCGATCTAAAACAGAAATTAGGTCATAACTCTAACAAACATCAACTGGCATCGTTGTGAGGGTGAGAATATGCCTATTCTTTGATAAAAATATCATCCTAGTAATAATGGATTGCTCAAAATTAATATCTTGAAATGTGAGTACTTTTTTTTGACTAACTATTGATATTTAATTTATTGATAGATTAATTTAGATCAAATTTTATAAAAATTTATTACAAGATTAATTTTTTCAATTCAATTTACTCCGATCATTATCGGAAAATAAATGAAATGTAAGTTTTGGAACGTGGGTTGTTTTCATTATTGTAGAGTAGAATTCACCGAATTATTTATCACAAGAAGAAAAAGTATAGTGTTTGTTGACTTAACGCGTCGATATTGTTTGATATAATGATGGTTGGACTCTAGTCTATAGAATATTACAATTTGGAGGTGTATGCCACCCCTCACAATTTTATTTGTTGAGGAAGAAGCATCAATACAAACAATCTTTGAATCAACGATGGCCTATTTCATTGCTACAAGGATTTTATTTTTTTAGATACAACTTATTATCTGCTTTCGGCATCAAAATCCTTTTACCCCACACGTCTCTCCCTTGTTGGTAGTTGAGTACACTAATAATCATAAGGTCTCAAAATTTAAGAATTTTATATATTAACGTTAATTAAGTTCGTTCATATGTAATCTTTGTGCTCTAACGGCATTTAATTTTAAGGGAAAATAAAATTTTCATTTGGTTCTCAATAAAATGGTAGAAAAAGTTATAAACGAAGATTTTGATAATATTTTAATTATTTTTCATGATGAATGAATTTAGGTAAAAATACTTCATAGATCTCTCGAAATTTTAAATTTGACATTTTAATTTTTATTATAAAATATTTTAGATACCTTACTTTAAAGATAACATAGAATGTATACATCATTTGGGACAGACACAGTATAATTATAATTGCAATGGGATTAATATTGTTAATGTAGAAATTGCTATAAAATCACAGGTCAATAATACAAAACAGGGTAGCAACAAACCATATGAAAAATAATTGACTTACATATTCAAGGCTTCGATTTCTGAAATTATTCTACGTAAATGAATTCCTTAACAAAATCGGTTTTACTGTTTGTTGTTCGCAGTCGGTTATACCTTTGTGGGAAGATAATGGAGGAAGCACGTGTACAAAAGCCTGCCCCCGTCGGCATATATCGGCGCGTGCCACCGTCCAAAGGCAGATGCTTGCGGGTCAAGTACACTGAATTCCCGACACCTAGCCTAGCCGTAGCCGACCCATGGCTCAAAGACTATTATATAGGAAAAAAAAATATTATTATTATTTTATTCTTTATTGACGCATTCATAAAATATGAAAAAATACAAAATCTTGGTGATATTTTTTTTATTTCTTATGTAAGGAAGATAATAATATTTGAATCTTTGATATGGTCCATCATTTTCCACTTAACTACTTGTAACACTATTAATGGCCACTAATATTTCATACCTACGAAATAGTTAAATTGTTATATTACTCCATGTACTATACATTAGTCTTTCATATTTTAATTTGATATTTTTATTGTTTTAAAAATAGTTTTACTATACATATAATAGTTTTATGGTCACTGAGGGTTAACTATCGTTAGACCTTTAACGAATTGTTGACATGACATGTTAAAAAAAGGGGTTTTAAGAATGATTTGTGAGATTTTTAGGGATTTTTTTTTAATTTTAGAAAATTTTGAGTTTTTTTTTAAATATAATATTTTAAAAAATTATCAGTGAAACATGTCACATAACGAAATTTTTTAACACCTTTATAGTCGGGACACTTAAAATGGTAACATTTGTAACATTAGACACCTAGATTAACCAAAAAATTTAGACACCTAAATGAAAAAAGAGTATATTTTAAGTTTTTTATATTAAGCCTAAATTTAATATAAAAAAGTTTAAATGTAAAAAGATAGACTGTGAAAAAATTAATAAATGATAATTGTAATAAGAAAAAGATAATAAAATTTTATAAATAGAAAAATTTTCTTTGATTCAAGTTAACACTTTTAAAAGGAAAAAAAACTAGTTTACACTTTGATTCATAAAAGGATTAACTCAAATACCCCGTCTAGGGAAAAAAAGTTTAACTTGCCATTCTGTTGGGTTAAAAAAAATAATCTAAAACTGAGAATAGTTTAAACACAATTTTAAAACAACCAATCAATTACCTCAGAAAACCAATCAATGGGTTAAACAAATTAATAATATAGTTATTAGGGTTGCTTAAAATATGAACAAAGTAGGTCAAGCCATAGAGTGTAATTGGGTCAAGCATAACCGTCCAAATATTTATTTTTATCTTCTCCACCAAAAATATTTTCTGATGGATAGATCAATTGTATTCGATGATTAATAAATTATTATTATTTTTTAAAGATTTTGAACTCAAATATTAGCGATATAAATATTTATTATAAAATAATTAAAAATCTATGAATAAATATTACTCCTTATAGTCATCCTAAAATAATCTAAAAAAAAACGTTACGTGAGAACCTTGAGAAAAAAGAACCAATCAATTAACTGTTGAGGGTTTAACGGCTACTGATTAGATAAACTTAAAGGTTTAAATGTTGTATACCCCCACGATTAAAGAATAAAAGTAAAGGCATAAAGTATAAACCGATATTCTCATAAATAGTGGACACTTGTGCAGCAGTTTGAAGCAAAACGAGTTTTGAATTTAGAAGTGTTGTTCGGGTTGATTTCTCATTTGCACTCCCCAAAGCCAACAGTGACACTCTTGGTCGGTCAATAAAAGGAAGCTTGAAATTGAAATGAAAGCTGAATCTGTCAACTCTCCACAGATTGAAAACCCCTTTAAAACCCCCATTTTCTTTCAATCTTTGCAGCCAAACAAATTCTTCTCTGGGTTACCCTTGTCCATCTCCACTTCGTTTTCTTTCCGTTCAGAATCATGGGGGGCTTCTCGTCTTGCGAACAGACAGACATGTTAATTCCTTTGAGCCCAACAGAACACAGACAAGACGGTTCAGAAAAGAGCTGTATGTCTGTAGTAATTGGTGAATTTAAATGCATAGCCAACATAGCTTTCCCGATGGTGCTAACAGGTCTTCTGCTCTACTCTCGATCCATGATTTCCATGTTGTTTCTGGGCCGTCTAGGGGACCTGGCTTTAGCCGGTGGATCGCTTGCTATTGGATTTGCAAACATCACTGGTTACTCTGTTCTCTCTGGCCTTGCCATGGGGATGGAACCCATCTGTGGCCAAGCTTTTGGTGCTAAAAGATACAAAATTCTTGGCTTCACCATGCAGAAAATGATACTTTTGCTTCTATTGACTTCAATCGTCATCGCTTCTTTGTGGTTCAACATGAAAAATGTACTTCTCTTTTGCGGCCAAGATGAGAATATCGCCAACGAAGCTCAAGCCTACATTCTTTATTCTCTTCCAGACCTTGTAGCACAATCCATTCTACATCCTTTACGTACATATTTAAGGACTCAGTCTATAACTCTTCCTCTCACATACTGTTCAACTCTGGCAATTCTTCTCCACATTCCCATCAACTACCTTCTTGTCTCTGTGCTTGACCTTGGCATCAAAGGTGTTGCCTTAGGCTCCGTTTTGACCAACATAAATCTCGTGGGTTCATTGATCGTTTACATGAAAATCTCTGGTGTATACAAGAAAACATGGGGTGGGATTTCCTCAGAGTGCTTGAAAGGGTGGAAATATTTATTGAATTTATCCATTCCGAGTTGCATTTCGGTTTGCCTTGAATGGTGGTGGTATGAAATCATGATTTTGTTATGTGGGTTGCTGTTGAATCCACAAGCAACGGTTGCTTCGATGGGCATTTTGATTCAAACAACGGCATTGATCTACATTTTCCCATCGTCATTAAGCTTTGGGGTGTCGACTAGAGTTGGAAATGAACTTGGAGCTAACAATCCAAACAAGGCAAAACTGGCCGCGATCGTCGGCCTCTCGTCGAGCTCGGTGCTGGGGCTTTCGGCGTTGGTTTTCGCAATCTCGGTAAGAAAGCAATGGGCAACCATGTTCACACAAGACCCCGAAATCATTGCCTTAACATCCATGATATTGCCTATACTTGGACTGTGCGAACTCGGGAACTGCCCACAAACAGCAGGGTGTGGGGTTCTAAGGGGAACAGCGAGACCAAAATTGGGAGCAAACATAAACCTGGGGTGTTTTTACCTTGTAGGGATGCCGGTTGCGGTGTGGTTGAGTTTCTTTGCGGGGTTTGATTTCAAAGGTCTTTGGGTGGGTCTTTTAGCCGCCCAAGCCTCGTGTGTGGTGGCCATGTTCTTCACCGTGACTCTTACCGATTGGGACTATGAAGCCTGGAGAGCGCAGCAGCTCACCACAGCCGTCCCATTTGATACCAACCAGGATGGAACTTTGAAAGTTGACTCTTCTCCCTCTAAAGAATCTTTGGGGTTATTACATGACGTAAACAAAAATGACTTACCTGTCTAATTTGGAACACCGTGAGTTGATTTTTCTATTTATTTTTTTATAATGTGAATTTGATCAGAATAGAATTTTTTTTGTTTTACGCATCGGTTGGTTTGTCGTTTCGGAATGGAAAAACAGAGGAACAGAACATAGATTTTGTTGACCAAACCCAAGTTTCTTGGTCGGCCAGATCTTTGTTTGGAATTTGGACAGGTATAATGAAAAAATATTTTCTATATTATATAAATAATCAATTTAATCTTTATTTTTTAAAGTATTTTAGTATTTAAGTTTTATTTTATGATAAAACATTATTATACAAATGAAAATCATTAGTCAACTAAGAGTAATCATTCTAAAAATAAGAATTCTTTTACCTTAAAATGAAATGATATGTGTTAAAATGATCAAAAACAAAGAATAAGTACTAAACTAATTATTTAAGCAAATATTAAAAAAAATTATTTTAAAATAAAATAATTAGAACTACAATATTTTTTTAAAAAAAACATTATTTAATTAAACGTTTGAGTTATTTTTTTAATATTATGCCACTTGAAAATATGCATCGCGTTGCCCACACAGCGACAGCGTAGCAATTTCTTCAATCAACATCGTACTTTGCGCGTACGAAGTCATGTTGATAAATGACACGTGGGATTTAGTCATTTAGATTTGAAGCCCATTTATCATTTGCGTGGAAACCGCCTTTTCAGTTTTTGCCTTAAAAAGTGGGTTTTATGACTCAAATGAGTGCAGACAAAAAAACCTATCTTTTTTCTTGTAATTGTATTCGTTTTTATGTTTTAGTATAAAGTTATTTATATCTTAAGGCTCTTATTTTAAATTAATTTTTAAAATTTTAAATATTTTTATTTTAAATTCAAACTATAACTCACGTTCTAAAACTTTTAAATATTTTAATTTTATTTTTAAACTATGACTCTATTTCTAAATTGTCCCCTCAAACTTTTGAATATTTCGATTTTATCCAAATATATAATTAGTTTCTACCATAGTTTAACCCAAACTTTGTTTTCTCAAACATATAATAATATAACTTAGCCTAACAATTTTATTGACAAGGGATGTGATTAGTATATACATATAGTTTGAGATGAAATTGGAATGTTAAACCAATTTAATGACTAATTTTGAATCATAGTCATAGTTTAGGGATGGAATTAAAATATTTAAAAGTTTAAGGATCAATTTAAAATGACGCTCATACTTTGAAAATATGTGATATAATTAACTCTTTTAATATTTATTTGCCAAATTTATTATTATAATAATTTAAAATAACATCATAAATTTAAAATATTAAAAAAAATCATGACATCTTTTTTTTGGAATAGTTTTATAAAGTGGTTATAAGATATTATTTATTCAGAATTTTTTTTAACTATAGACAATGAACATACACACCTCACAGACATAGACAGAACACAATAGAGACCTATGAAGGTCATGACCCCAAAAATTTGAAAATTTATAGTGTAGACCCTTAAAATTTTTATAAAAATTATGTTGTCTCCCATAAAATTTTGAATTTTTTTTTTGAAAAAATGTAAATTGAACCCTTCAATTTTTTAATAATTTTAATTTAAACTTTAAATATTTTAAAATTTCTAGTTGACCTACCAGATTCTATCACAAAATTTTCCTAGTGTTTACAGACATAACTATCCAAACTCAAGTTCTTAAAGATAACAACACTTGTTTTGCCAACTTATATCACTCAATAGACTTAAAAAAACATATATTATAAATTTATTATATCACAAAATTTTTTCCTAAAATGATATTAAATTGTCACTAAAAATAATAATACTCCTATTAAATTAGAACTCATGTCGGTTGATTGGAATCAGACGTGCGGAAGCCGAGCTGGCCACCGCTTGCAGCTGCCTCCTATGCTCTTGACACTTACAGCATGAGATAATTTAACTTTTTTTTAAATAGTTTATTTAATTAAATATGAGTTGGTTTTAAATTTTTAGATAACATGTCATGAAAATTTGATATTATTTGATTTTGAAATTATTAAAGTTATATGTTTGATTTTATTTTATGAGTTTTCGATATTATTTGGTATAGTTTTAATTTTCTATAATTATTTTAAAAAAATAATTAATAATTTTATATAATATTACAAAATTATTTTCATTACTCAAAATATATTTTTAACTTGTACCTCAACTTGGTTCTACATATATGGTTAACCTTTCTCAATCAAACTCTTCACTTAGCAGATATTTCCTTTTTTATTATTGTTTTGGGTAAACTGCATGCATAGTAATTAAAATTATAGGGGTGATTCTATTTCTTTCATTGATCTATGAATTTTATCAATAAAATTATTTTAATCAAGTCACTAAACATTAACTTAATAAAATATTGACGTGATCATTAAGTAAATTTATAGAATTATATATTTAATTTGTATTACTTATATATTTTATCAATTTAATCATAATTTTAATTTAATTTAATTACCATTTGATTAGATAAGAGAAATAAATTGTTGCGGAAGGCGGCTATCAGATAGAGCAAAATCGCAAATGATAATTTGAAAAAATAAAAATAAAGATAAAGAAAACACAAAATTGACGTGGAAAACCCCTAAATAATATAGGGTAAAAACCACGGGCAAAGGTAGAAGAATTTCACTATGAGAAAATAGGAATTACAACCTCTCTCGATCTACCAAGGAGAAAACAATGATAATTCTCTTTTGATAAAAAGGAGAAAACAAATCTCAAGAAACTCTTTAAATTCTCTCTAGTATTGGAAGAAAGTTGAATGCTTTGAGATGGTTTTGAAGCTAAATGAGCTAGGGTATTTATAGTTGAAGTTTAAGGACCAATTTGTAAATACCATAAACTTTAGTGACTAAAGTTTGTAATTTGCCTTTTCTAAATGTCAACAAAAAACCAACAAATTTCCGGTGCATTAAATTTGTGCACTTTCGGTGTATTTATGCACCATCCATATTTGACTTTTCAACAATCTCCGACTTGAAGATTTGATTGGAACAATCATATCTTCACACCATTCTTTCTACCTTGTACCTTCATGTTGCTTACGTCTCTGACAGGCCACAGGAGGATCAACACCAAGTAAATTTATCAGCATTGATTGCCTTCGTCATGAAATCTGTTATGTTATCTTTGGTATGGATCTTCTGTATATCTACCGTCCCTTCTTCCACTTTTTCACGAATGAAATGGAACTGAACTCGTATGTGCTTTGTCCTTGAATGAAATGCTGGATTCCTTGCTAGATGCAAGATGCTTTGACTGTCACAAAACAGAGAAACATACTCTTGATTGTGCCCAAGCTCCTCCAATAGCATCTTAAACCAAATTGCTTCTTTACTGGCTTGTATAGCTACTACATATTCTGCTTCTGTTGTTGACGTAGCCACAACTGACTACAATTTTGAAACCCAGCTTACAGCTCCATCAGCAATTTTGAACACATATTTTGTAGTAGATTTATTTTTATCCAAATCCCCTGCATAGTCAGAATCTACATACCCATTGATTAGTAAGTTTGATCCTCCGTAACATAATGCAATATTTGAGGTCCCTTTGATGTATCTCATGATCCTCTTTACTGTATTCCAATGCTCTTTTCCTGGATTCGCCATGTACCGACTAACCACTCCTACTGCTTGTGCAATGTATGGTCTTTTGCATATCATAACGAACATTAAACTTCTCACTGCCGATGCATACGGTACTCGAGACATCTCCATCATCTCTTCTTCACTGCTAGGACTCATAATGGAGGATAATTTGAAGTTAATAGGAAGAGGGGTAGAAATTAGCTTACAATCTTGCATGTTGAATCTTGACAAGATCTTTTTCAAGTAATTCTTTTGTGAAAGCCAAATCTTAATATTACTTCTGTCTCGGTGAATTTGCATCCCCATAATCTTATTTGCTGATCCCAAGTCCTTCATTTCAAATTCCTTAGTCAATTGTGCCTTCAATTCTTCAATATGATCTTTGTTGGGCCGTGCAACCAACATGTCATCCACATACAACAACAATATAACAATCGTTATCACCATACCTCTTGAAATAAGCACAAGGGTCTACATTAAGTCTGTTGTATCCAAGGCACATAATGAAGTAATCAAATCTCTTATACCAACACCTCGGTGCGTGCTTTAAACCGTACAGAGATTTGTTCAACCTGCAAACCAAGTTCTTCTTTTCTTTTTCTTCAAAACCTTCAGGCTGGAGCATGTAAATTTCTTCTTCAAGATTTCCATGAAGAAAAGTTGTTTTAACATCTAGCTGCTCTAGATGTAAGTTCAATGTAGCACACATTGCCAAAACTACTCGAACTGTTGTTAGTCAAACCACTGGAGAAAATATTTCATTGAAATCAATACCTTCTTTTTTAGCATATCATTTGACCACCAGTCTTGCACGATACCTCTCAACCTGATCGTCACCATTTCGCTTGATTTTGAAGACCCATTTGTTACCAATTGGCTTCCTTCCTTGTGGTAGTGGCACAAGATCCCATGTATTATTTTTATGAAGGGCTTCAATTTCTTCTTGCATCGCCATCATCCATAATGAAGCATCTGAGCTGTTTATTGCCTCCTGGTATGTTGATGGCTCACCTTCCTCTGTTAATAGGCAATATGCAATATTTTCTTCTATAACATAATATGAGTGCCAATTGGGACGTCTTCTCACACGATCTGATTGACGAGTTATTGGAGCTTCAAAACTCTCTGGTTCTTGTTCATCATGTGCTGGTTCTTCTTCTGAAGAATCTCCTTGTTCAACCTCCTTTTCCACATGTATCTGTGTAGTCTCTGACTTTTCAGCGCTATCATCGTCTTATTTTCTTTGTAGTTTATCTTCTATAAATATAACATCCATGCTGATGATCACTTTACGGGCAGTGAGATCCCACAAGCGATACCCCTTGACTCCATCAGTATACCCCAAGAATTTGTATTTCCTGGATTTTGGATCCAGCTTTGAGATTTCTTGAGAGTTGTACATCACGTACACAATATTTCCAAATACATGGAGGTCTGAATAATCAGCTGGTTTACCAGTCCACATCTCCATTTGTGTCTTCAGCTCTATTGCAGTTGATGGAGCTCGATTCACCAAATAACAGGCGGTATTGACT